GTATATCTTTCCTTTTCTCCTTTGCTTTTCGCTTCCCTTGTTTTCACAGCTATTTGTAAGGCCTCCTCAGACAGCCATTTTGCTTTTTTGCATTTCTTTTTCTTGGGGATGGTCTTGATTCCTGTCTCCTGTACAATGTCACGAACCTCCGTCCATAGTTCATCAGGCACTCTGTCTATCAGATTGAGCCCCTTAAATCTATTTCTCACTTCCACTGTATAGTCATAAGGGATTTGATTTAGGTGCAGTCCCCTCATTCAGCCAAGGCCTAGAACCGAGGGCTAACTAGGGGGACACAAGTAGGGGACAGACAGAAATGCCCACAGAATGGCTGTGAGGCATGAAGACAAGCTGGCCTACCCACAGGATGGTACCTGTAGGTGTCCTGCACCCTCAGAGGAGTAACCCTCAGGACTAGAGGTTGGCTGAGATGACTGGCTGTCTTTTGGCCACATGTCCAAAATTATTTAAATTCCTGGGAAGATGGCTTCCTGGGATGGCCCAAGTCAGCTGCTACGTCTGGGTCAGATGGACTTGGCCTTTCTGCCCCCTTAAGCCACCTGCATTTGTGCTCTTTTCCAAGCCCCAGGGAAGCCCACTGTCTCCAGCAATGAAGGATGTTGAGTTTTCTGAGACCTGAATCTCAGAGCTTCCTGGAGTGGATCTGAGAACAACCAGCTGAACACACCCAGCTGTCGGGCAGTTTCCTCCTCTGGCACATTCCAGCATTACAGCCTCCGACAACAATGCCTTTGCCGGCATTGCTTCTTGCGTTCTTCCTTCCTCGGTAACACCTCAGCCTTTAGCAATGTCACTCTGGCCTTTAGCTGGCTTTGGGAACCCGGATGTGGCTTTGAAACAAGAACCTTTGCACAGAGGGGAACAGGAGGCATTTAAAACCATCCAGGAAGAGTAGAAAATTAGCAGTTCAGGTGACGGGAGACTCACTTTGAGAACTTGTTCCATTGCATTTTGCTGGGCAAGCCAGAAGTCTATCCTGAGTGTCGGTCTCTCAGCTGTAGCCTGGGGACTGCACTGGAAAAGAATGTGTCTTGTGCAACAACTGGATGTAGTGGACCACCTATGCCCATCTAGTCAAGTTAAACTTATTGGCCAAATACTGCTCCTGACTTAAAAAAAAAAGTCTGTTTATTTTGATGATTACTGAGAAAAGTGAGTTAAAGTTTCCACACTGGGATTGTGGGTAGATTGATTTCTCTATTTCCCCACGTAGTTCTGTCATTTTTTTTTTTTTTTTTGCATTGTGATTTTGAGATTGTGTTTTTAGGTGCATACAAATAGAAAATTATCATAATTTCTGGTGGTTTTCACCTTTTCTCATCGTGAGGTGTTCCTGTTTACCATGGTAATGCTTCTGCCTTACGTCCATTTTATCTAATGCCAATATAGCATCACTAGCCTTCTATGGGTAGAATTTCTGTAATTTATTATTCCATCTTTTAGTTCATATCCATGCTTTGTAATTCCTGATATATTTGACCCAGGGGTTGAACCTGAGTCTCTCACATCTCCTACATTGGCAAGTGGATTTTTATACCACTAGCACCACCTGTGAAGCCCATTTGAATTTATAACTACCATCTTATTTTGTACTTCCTATTTGTCTCACCCATTCTTTTTAACCTTACTTTTGCTTTTTTTTTGTCTATGACATCTTTTTTCCTCCACTGATTAGAGATTTACATATCCGTTTTTATTCCTTTAGTGGTAATATTAGAAATGACAAATTGCTTCTTCAGTTTATCCAAGTCTAAAATTAGTCAATATCTTTACCTGTCTCTTGAAAAAGACACTTAATACCTTAATACACTTTAATTCCATGTGTCTTTCTTTTAAAGTTCTCTGTGATTGTTGTGATGCATTTTTAAAGCCTTATATGTGGTCTTCCATTGACTTTTTCTAAATGATCAACTTTATTAGGGTGCCATTTATACGATAAGCGGTTTGATCAGTTTTGACAAGTGCATAGCGATGCATCATGACAATCAAGATATAGGAAAGCTCAACCCCCAGATTCCCTTGTGCCCTGCCTCTTGCTGTCAGCCTCCGTCCCTAACCCCCAGAACTTGGCAACTGTTGAGCTGCTTTCTGTCACTATAGTCTTAACTTTTCCAGGATTTTGTATAAATGGAGTCAAAGTCAAATGTAGCCTTTTGGGTCTGGATTCCTTCACTGGGTTGACGACTGATCTTCATTCATGTTGAATGTGTTGGAGGTCTATTTCATCTTATTTTGAGTGCTCGTCATTCCTTTGTGTGGATACAGTCTCCCGCCTGATGTCCCTTTCCTTCCACCTGAATAACTTTTGATTGAATATAACATTTTTTGGCGTGCAGGTCGATGGACAATGAATTCTTTCAGATTTTCTCTAAAAGTCTATTTTTGCCTTCGTTTTGAAAGATACCTTTGTTGGCTTTAGAATTCTAATTTGATGGTTTATCTTTCAGCAGTGTAAAGATTTTGATTCCCTGTCTTCTGCCTTGTATTGTTTCTGATGAAGAATTTGCTGTAATGCTTAATTTTTTTGTTTATGTGTAATATCTCTTTTCTCTAGCTGCTTTTAAGATTTTCTCTTTATTGTTTTCAGCAACTTTGATTATAATGTGCTTTGGTAGGTTTTTCATTATCATTATTCTTCTTGGGTTTCATTATGCTTCTTATATGTGTGGATCTATAGTTTTCATCAGATCTGGAAAACTTTCAACCATTTTTTCCCTTCAAATATTTTTGTCTGTCCCCCTCAACTTCCTGAGATTCTGACTACCCATATGTAAGGCATCTTGACATCATCCCAAGGATGACTGACGCTTGTTTATTTTTTTCCTAGCTTTTTATCCTCTCTGTGCCTAGTTTGAATAATTCTTAATCCGGTGTTCTCAAGTTGTCCAATTGTTTCTTTTGCAATGTCTAATCTGCTATAATCCAATTCAGCACGTTTTTTATTTTTTATTTTTCCTTTCTATATGGCCCCTGTGTCTTTTATTTTATACATTCCATTTTTACCTTCAGAGTATTCACATTCTCCTTTATATCTCTGAAAATTTTTTAAGACTTCTGTTTCAAAGTCATGCGTGTGTGCTAAGTCGCTTCAGTTTTGTGTGACACTACAGACTATCTAGCCTGCCAGGCTCCTCTGTCCTTGGGATTCTCCAGGCAAGGATACTGGAGTAGGTTTCAGAGTTCTTGATGGCTAATTCTATTATTGTTGGGCCTGTTTTTATTGATTTTCCTCATGGTCATGAGTCATGTTTATCTGCTTTTTTTTGCATCGCCTCATGATTTTAATTGGATGCTGAACATATCGGTCAAGGGCCAGGCCAAGACAGAACCGACATCGATAATTTCAACAGGGACCATTTGATATAATTAATGATTAGCGAGTAAAATATGATTAATTACTAAAGGGGTTGTAAAGGAGAACTCTTACGGAGTATGAGAATAACGAACGCAGGAAGTCCCACTTCCTCTGGGGCGGAGGGAGAGTAAGCCAGGAAGGAATTAAGAACCTGGAAGAGGCATCCCACACACCTCCTGCCTAGATCCAGCTCTCGGAAAAGGCGTTGCTGCTGCAGGAACACGGCCTGCCAGAGGAGAAGACACGTTCCAGAGGGTGTGGGCTAGAGCGTTCCGTCCTGTCAGTCCACCACGTGACTGAAAAACCCACTGGAGAGTGCAGGGGTGGGGCGGGGGTGGATCAGGAGAGTCTAAAGGGCCTGCCTGTCGAGTGGCCGATAAGCCAGGGCATTGATGGGTCAGCATAGGTCTGCGAGAAGTGGTCTCCTGCTTTCTGTTCGTTCCCAGGTATGATACCGAGTTTCCTTGTTGTATTTGTTTAGTTGTGAACTGCGGTTGACTCATTTTCCTTGAATTTCTATTTATGGAAATTCGTGAGGCCTGGGATTGCAGAGGGTTCTTCCAAAGAGTATTTTTTGTTTGTTTGTTTTGGCCTCTGCCAGTCCCCTGGAGGGCACTTCTTGGCAGCAACCGCTGTAATTAAGTTGTTGGTTTGTGGAGTTTGGGGACCACCCAGGTGGTGTGAATTCAACTTGGTTGGTTACAAACTTGTGTCAGGGATGACTGATGGCTCCAAATTCTCAGTAGTTACTTTTTCCATTTTCCACTTAGGGCTGTGTTTTAAGACATTGCATTTTTCTTGCACTCCCCGTGACCGAGGGGGTTGTTGATGTTATTCCTTTGTCCTTAACCGGAGACTGCTTCCCCTTGAACTCTCAGCTGCTGACGGGGAGTCACTCCTATCCGACTCCTCACCGTGGGCACACTCTGCACTTTGCCAGCTCCTCCCTTACGCCGAGGACTCCAGGAAAACCAGAGCTGTGTTTCCCAGGGTTCAGTAAATACCCCTGGGAAACACAGCTGCTGCTCTCCTTACCTTTATGGTTCTTGCCTCCATTCCACGCATTTTTGGCCTTGTACATTATTTATTTTCTTGACAGTTTACCTTACATTTAAGAAGACTTTTTCTTCTTTTCCCAGGTATTTTATTCGTGAATATTTCTTGCCGTGAAGAATCAACTAGTGATGCAGAAGACCCAGATTCAATCCCTGGGTTGGGAAGATCCCCTGGAGAAGGGCATGGCAACTCACTCCAGTATTCTTGCCTGGAGAATCCCATGGACAGAGGAGCCTGGTGGGCTAAAGTCCATGGGGTCCCAAAGAGTCAGACACGACTGAGTGACTAAACTTGAGTTGTTTTCAATAGGAGAGCCATCTCAGGTATTTGGTATTTTGTATTACCAGGGTTAAGAGCAGTATTTCTCTGCAGTGTCTACAACTTCATAGGTTCTACACTAGTATTTGGCAAATAAATGAATGAAAAAGGGGATGAAGAAAGACATGTGAATGGTTTGGCTGAGTGAACTGTCAGTCAGCCTTGAAACACTATGAGGTCAGGGATCTGATCTGATGAGTTCACCACTGCCCCTAAACTGGCTATAGCGATCCATGCCAGGGTTCAGCTGATGGTAACTGATTTTGACTCAGAGTGGCCTAAAGGCCATGGGAAATCTGTGCTCGATAGAGATGCTTGCCGTGTGCAGAAAGCAACTTTCCAAATGTGTGGGCCTTCAGGGATGATTGGTTTTCATATGGTGGGGATGGACTCCAGTGATCCTTCTCTGCTCTTCTCCTGGCTCCCCTGGGCATTTGGCTGCAGATCTCATCTCACAGTGTTGGAGTCTCATCTCTGGTTTCAGTGCTGTGGTCCAAGCCCATGCAGCTCACAGGGTGGTCCATGTGCCAGCAGCACCTCCATCACCTGGGTGCTTGTTAGAAATACAGAATCTTGCCCCTGCTCCCCTTCTACTACTGATTCAGAATCTTCACTTTTAATAAGATCCCCAGTCTATTCATATGCACACAAAGGTTTGCGAAACACTGCTGTAATCCAGAGAAGTCCCCAGGACCTCTGTGTGTGTGTGTGTGTGTGTGTGTGTGTGTGTGTGTGTGTGCGCGCACACACAGCGAATGAATTACAGGGGTGCAGTGAAGAACTGATTCTTACAGTCTTCAGGTGGCCATGTAGGATGACCAGCTAACTGCTTTCTGCTCGGCTGGGACTTTCCCAGTTTTAGCACTGGAAGAATCACATCCCTGAAAACCTCTTGTGTATGTGCCAAGTTGCTTCAGTCGTGTCTGACTCTTCAAGACCCAATGGACTTTAGCCCACCAGGCTCCTCTGTCCATGGGATTTCTTAGGCCAGAATACTAGAGTGGGTTGCCATGCCCTCCTCCAGGGGGACTTCCTGATCCAGGGATCGAACCTGCACTGGCAGATGGGTTCTCTACGAGGGCCACCTGGGAAGCCTGGAAACCTCTTAGTCACAGGCAAACTGGGATGGTTGGTCCCCTTACCAGACAGGGCCCAGGCATCCCTGTGGTTCCAGTAGATTTCATGAGGAGGAACTACATCTGGTACCACGTGGGCTGGGCCCGCCTCCAGGAGGTGACTTCTCACCTGTGTCAGCAGCTAGCTGCCAAGTCCTGTGCTCCCAATACGAACAAGGGGCCCCTGGACTTGCAAGAGGAATTCCCATTCTTGGTGTCCTAGAAGCATGGTGCCCAGTCCAACATGGGTCAAGTCATGAAGGTGATAAGGAAGCTGGGTGTGTTATCCAGGGTGGATCAGCTCTGGGAGAAGGCTCCAAATCCCTGTCTTTACATTGAGTAGAAACTGAAGCCTTAGTCTTTTCAGGTGATGTGTCTTTTTAGTGATATCCACGTTAGCTGCAGGGAGGAAGCTCTAACAATACACACACACACTCTGCAAATTAGAACTTCATCATTATTTTGAAATCCTTGATATGAAATGTTTGATTGTATCCACCATCCATTCACATTATTACAAGAAATTTCAACATTACATTTGTCAAAGAAAGAAGAGAAAGCGCTGTTAGGTTCTTTTAATATAATTTCAAGTGTTATACATTTTTGAATGGATATAAAATGGTCTTACATTTTTTATCATGTACTCAGTGAACAAAAGTTTCCTGCCAACAGTGACTTTCAAAAATTTCAAGAGCTCCTCATTAAAAAGCCCCCATCAAAAATTGTGTATGGCCATTTCACATGTAAAGCCTGATGTTAAAAAAAAGCATGTTCATGGAAGAAATCTCAAGTTTCTCATTAAATTGCTTGAAAAGATTTCATTGGGAAGTTTTTTTTTTTTTTTAACATAGTCAATGGGGATTCCCTGGTGGCTCAGACGGTAAAGCGTCTGCATGCAATACGGGAGACCTGAGTTCAATTCCTGGGTCAGGAAGATCCCCTGGAGAAGGAAATGGCAACCCACTCCAGTATTCTTGCCTGGAAAATCCCATGGACGGAGGAGCCTGGTGGGCTACAGTCCATAGGGTCACAAAGAGTCAGACCTGACTGAGCAACTTTACAGTCAATATTTAATAGTTTCCCTATTACTCTGTAGGGCTCCCCTGGTAGCTCAGTTGGTAAAGAACCCACCTGCAATGCAGGAGACCCTGGTTCGATTCATGAGTCAGGAAGATCCACTGGAGAAGGGATAGGCTACCCACTCCAGTATTCTTGGGCTTCCCTTGTGGCTCAGCTGGTAAAGAATCCTCTTGCAATGAGGGGGACCTGGATTCAATTCCTGGGCTGGGAAGATCCCCTGGAGAAGGGAAAGGCTACCCACTCCAGTATTCTGGCCTGGAGAATTCCATGGACCGATAGTCCATAGGGTGTCAAAGTGTTGGACACGACTGAGCGACTTTCACTTTACTTTCATTACTTTGTACTTATTTTTTTCCTACCAAAATTATATAATGTACAGAATGTAATACAGTCTATCACCCAGTTACTAGTTACCTTGAGTGTACCTCCAACACAATGTGCAAATTTGATCATTTTATCTGTGTGCCAAGGTGTGATGTTCCTGGGGAAATCTGGCTGTAACCCTCTGTGCTCCCCACTTTTCTGAACTGATGGGGGCCCCCCACACACTGAGGGAAAGATCACGGTGAGGCCCCACACCCTCCAAAAGTCTCCCTCCCACTTCTCCTCCCTGCTCCCTGGAGCTGCTCCTTTCCCTTCTTTAGTGAAAAGGCCCAGCCTCAAATCATTGCTATGGTAACCCTCAGGCTGGAGGAGCTGGTCTGGCCTGACTTGCGGAGGGGCTTCCATGGCTCGGTTGCCCCTGAGTTATGATGGCGAGTGGGAGGGATCAGGTCACTCTTGGGGGCAGAGGACCTCTTCACTCAGACAGAGATGCAGGAGACACAGCCTTGCCTGGGGTCCCCTGGACACTTGCCTTCCACACTTCACAGAAGGTCTCTGGGTCTCTCTAAAGGTTAATTCTTTATAAAGTCACACTCTGAACACAGTTGGTTTCAACCTTTCTCTTAGGGTCCCAGGGGTATATTTTGCCTCATCTGTACACTACCAGCTTGAACCTGACTTTCACTTCCAGGGCTCTGAGGTAGACTCAACTGGTACAAGTAGTGTGAACCATGTGACCGGGCTTTGGAGTCAGAAAGATGTGGAATCAAGTCTTGGCTCAGTCGCTTACTGGCTCTGGGATCTTGGGCAAGTCATATAGCCACAGTCTTGAGAAGGGGGCAACACAAGATGAGATGGTTGGATGGCATCACTGACTCAATGGACACGAGTTTGAGCAAACTCCAGGAGATAGTGAAGGACAGGAGAGCTTGGCAGAGGTCCGTGGGGTTGCAGAGTCAGACATGACTTAGTGACTGAACAGCAACCATGTGTATACATAGGGTGGAATTATTAAAGGTCCATCTCATAAGGTTGCCATATGTGAGCTCATACTTTGTCAAGCTCTCAGCCCAGATCCTGGCATGCAGTAGGTGCTCAATCAAAGAGGATTCATGTTATTATTATTATTACTTTCCTCTCACCTTGAATTGCCCCTTTCTTTTCTTCCTTTTTTATTCCCAACAAATCCTGCCAGGTGCCTGGGGTTCAGATGACTGTGACCTCTTTAGCTGTTTGTGTAAGCCTGTCTCTCAAAGAAAACAGCCTCCCCAGGCAGAAATATGCCCCAAACTTTGTGCATGTAAATCAACAATTCTGCACAAAGTGAGGGTAATTAATAAATGAAACCACTAGGGAGGACCCAAGAGAACTTATTATAGAAAAAAACAGTAAAACTGTTATCAATGTTCAGAATTTCAGACCAAGAGTTGTATTCACCTTGGAGTTTTGAAGCTGTGATCCGTTGACCAGTGATGTTTGATGACCAGTTCTCTGGCCACTCTCATTTTATGTTAAGGCTGGAGGGGAATTTAGTCTGTCTACTTTGAAGTTTCTTATTTTTTGCAGCAGACTAAAAATTAATAATTGACTGATAACAAATAGCATTGGTATTATTGTTTTTGCTGCTTTTTAAGCAAGTTTTAATGTAGCAAGCAGTGTTTCAGCTGGGCTTTCTCTGGAAGGAGGCTCTGAGACAAGTTTAGTGCACATGGTGTTTACTGGGACGGGTCAGAGGGATGAGCATCCAGGAACTGAGGGGGAGGAAGCAGGACTGGCAGGTGGAGAAGTCAGGCCAGAGGATGGTCCAGGCCAACCCCAAGAGGGGTCCCTCACCTTTGTCTGGATGGGCCATTGGCCAGGTCTTTTTCCCATCAGCCTCCTCGGTCACTCACTGACTATGAGAAGGGCATGACCTCTGGGAAGGGCATGAGCTCCGATGGTGACTCTTTGCAGCTGGTGGATGTGGAAGGGGCACTCCTGGGAACGGGGCTACCCCCTTAAAGGGGGATATGGGCTTCTCATCTCTGTGTTCATCATAAAAGATAAACTGAAGCTGGGGGCCTGGAGCTTGGTCACTATGGATGTTTCAGTGGTTCCTCAAGCACACATGGCATCCTATAGTTTAGCACCCCCCAGATTAGAGCTTAATTTTGGTCTTTCCTTGGTGAGCGAACTGGAGCTCAGATTGGGAAGGGAGTTGCCAAAATTCCCCCAGCAAGATATAATCAGAATTGCTCAGTTGGCCGCTGCCCACTTTTCAGGTCTCAGCTCGGATGCTGCCTCCCCCAGAAAGCCCTGCTGACCCCAGGCTGCATGAGATGCTCCTGTCTGAACACCCCACACCCAGACCTCTGGGGTCTGGTCATGTTCCTGACTCCCCAGCCAGCTGTGAGCTTTCTGAGGGGACGGATGATGAATGAGATGGCTGCGAGGTGGAGACTATCCTTAGGAAGGCATGAGTGGACTAATTTAGGTCCTCAACCATAACCTTGGCCAGGGAAGTCTGCCTGGTACCCACCCAGAAAGAAATGTCCCCAACACCTAAGGGACAGACCTCCAGGTCTTTTCAGGTTCAGCTCAGGAAACTCAGAGTTGCTCTAAGCCCACTTCTCAGTTCGTGCATCACTGCTCCATGCAAGGGTATCCGGATGAATTTCTCTATTGATTCCATGTCCCATGTCTGGGCTCTTTCCTCTGTATCTGATGAGCTTGACATACTTGCTTTTATTTTTATGATTGTATGAAGCCTATATTATTTTGTGTGCATGTATTTAATTTATGCAAACAGTATTGTGCTAAAAACCCAATTCTGTTTTTTTTATTTTCCTCTCCCAGCATTTTGCTTTTAAAGACCTATCCAGGTTACTGTATGGACCTCTAGGCTGTGCCTCTAAACTGCTGTATCCACCACCTTTACCCACCCCTCAGCGATGGAGGCCTAGCTCGCTTCTAAACTTCCTCCTCCCCTTCTCGCTGCCTCAGAGAACCTGGCGGTGGAGAGGCTTTTCCTCTCCTCCCAGAAATGTTGGACAATTTCTTTTGGATCTCGATCCTGGAGGGCATTTCTGGTAAAGGTGTATGAAAGTGAAAGTGTTGCTCGCTCCGCCGTGTTTGACTCTTTGTGATCCCCATGGACTGTAGCCCTCCAGGCTCCTCTGTCCACAGTCACCTTTGTCTAGGAAAGGTGTATGTGAGCACTTAACTTGACTAAATAGACTTTCACTTTCCACTCTTAAGGGGCCATGCACATATCAAGCCCAGGGGCTCACTAGACTATGAACTTCCCCAAATAGAAGATTCTAGAAAGTAATTAAAAAAATATTTTAAGGAAGCACTTTGCCAGCCAAATAAAGCACAGGAAATGGATTCAGCCTACTGGTCTCCAGTTTGCAAGTTGGAGGCCCAGACCCAAACTAGCCTTCCCCTTGACCTTTGCATGCAGCGGTCATGCATTCCTGACATCCCATGTGTCTCTTCCGGGCAGGGACTGTGTCCACACTAACAAGCCTTGAGTGCAGCTTCAGCCCCTCCTCAAATAGACGATGTGATGGAGCCCCCGACACAGGTCAGGAGCGAGTTCTGTGTGTCCTGAGGAGGAACTCTAGCAGCCTCACTGACCTTACCTCTCTCTCCACCCTGGTCTTTCAGGACCATCACCTGTCACAGGAGATGAGTTCTTTCTGGCAGGAGGTATTCCTGCTGGCAGCCGGCTCCCAGAAGCTGAGGAGGGGTAGGAGAAGGCGTGGAGACAGGGGACTTTCTTAGTTTGGGTTGCTACAACAAAGTGTCATAAACTGGGTGCTTAGACATCTGTTCCCCATAGTTCAGGGAGCTGGAAGTCCGAGATCAGAATGACAACACGGATGAGCCTCTCCTGGGCTGCTGACCGTCCACTTGAGTTGTGTCCTCACACGGAGGAAAGAGAGGGTGAGGGAGCCCTCTGGCCTCTTATGAAAGCGCTAACCCCAAAGTCCCTCCCCCAAGCACCATCACATTGTGGGTTGGTTTTCCATGTATGTACTTTTGGGGGGGACACATTCAGTCTGCAACAGGAACCCAAGGTACTAGCTCCGGCTCCTCCAGAGAAAACAAAGGCTGTTGCTCCGATTCTCAGGAGTCTGAGAAAGCCTTAGGCAGTAGGGAATGCCCAGACATTGTGTGGTTTTAGACAATAGCCACAGGTGTTCAGAAATGCTAACATTTGCTTTTGAAAGAGAAAAGAAAAAGTACAGTAGCTTTAAGTCTTGCTTTAAGTCGGAGCGTCTGTGGCTCCAGCCCATTCAGTCATTAATTCCCAGATCGCATGAGTTGGCCGCATCCCCTGCTGGCATCTGAACTTCCTAAGGCCAGACGCCCACCTCCCAGGCTACACTTCGTGTAGCAGAGAGAAGGGGCTGAGGTGTTTGGGGTTCAGGAGTCCAACACCCCTGGGTACAAGCCTGACCCTGCTGCTACCAGGCTGTGACCTTGGACAAGTTGCTTCATGCCTCCAAGCCTCAGTTTCCTCCTCTGCCGGAGGCTGATGCAGTGACTACCGTCTCACAAGGTGCTCTGAGGATTAGATGAGTTAATAGCTGTAAAGCTGTGACACATGAATTCAAGGGACGGGAATTTTAAGAAGCGGTTCAGGGGATCCTGGGATGCAGGCAAGTTAGGAGAATTATAACAATCAATAAATATTTCCCTGGGCCCACCGTGTGCCAGACACTGTGCCATGTACCGCAGTGCCTTGGGCTGCATCCTGCTTGCTGGAGACTGCTGAGGGACCCGGCATCCGGGAGGAGGCAGAGCGAAGAGGAAGCGGGCACAGACATGCCATGGGATGGGGCTTCCTCTCCAGCCTCCAGTGTGAGAGGAGATTTTAAAATGTTTATTTGCCAAATGTTTACTGAGTTGCAAATATTAGAACCCACTGTGGCTAGTTTCAGCAGAAAAGGGGTTTCTTAAACAATATGAGCAAATGCAGGCAGTCGGCGGGAGGGCAGGAGGAACAGACTCCAGGTGAAGCTCGCAGGAGGAACCCAGGACCCTGCTGCAGTGCTGGCTCGATGGGTGGAATTATTGCTGCCGCAGCAGCAGCCACTGAGCCGGAGGCCAGGAACTGACTTCACTGCAGCCGTGGTCTCTTCTGCCACAGGAAGTTGACCTTGTAACTGAGGCCACGCTGATAACTGGACCATAAAACAGAAGTCTGTGCCCGTTTCTGCCTGGGGCTCAGTTCTGAAGCAGGGACTTTCAGGAGAGAGCCCAGGTCACGTGCCTTCATCCTCACTGTGAGGGAGCCTGAGAATTGAGTTCTGATACATACACAGCCTTACAAATAGCTGTGAAAAGAAGAGAAGTGAAAGGCAAAGGATAGAAGGGAAAGATATACCCAACTAAATGGAGGAGAAGAGCAAGGAGAGATAAGAAAGCTTTCGTAAGCGAACAGTGAAAAGAAATAGAGGAAAACAATAGAATGGGAAAGACTAGAGATCACTTCAAGAAAACTGGAGATACCAAGGGAAAATTTCATGCAAAGATGGGCACAATAAAGGGCAGAAGCAGCAAGGACCTAACAGAAGCAGAAGAGATTAAGAAGAAGTGGCAATACACAGAACTGTACAAAGAAGATCTTAGTGACCCAGATAACCACGATAGTGTGGTCACTCACCTAGAGCCAGACATCCTGGAATGTGAAGTCAAGTGAGCCTTAGGAAGCATTATTACGGACAAAGTTGGTGGAGGTGACTTAATTCCAGCTGAGCTTTTTCAAATCCTAAAAGATGATGCTGTTAAAGTGCTGCTCTCAATATGTGAACAAATCTGGAAAACTCATTGGTGGCCACAGGACTGGAAAATATCAGTTTTCATTCCAATCCCAAAGAAAGGCAATGCCAAAGAATATTCAAACACCCATACAATTGTGCTCCCTTCACATGCCAACAAGGTAATTCTCAAAATCCTTCAAGCTAGGCTTCAGCAGTTCTTGAATCAAGAACTTCCGGATGTACAAGCTGGATTTAGAAAAGGCAGAGAAACCAAAGGTCAATGTGCTGACATCCATTGGATCATTGAAAAATCAACAGAATTCCAGAAAAACATCTACTTCTGCTTCACTGACTACGCTAAAGCCTTTGACTGTGCAGATCACAACAAACTGTGTAAAATTCTTAAAGAGTTGGGAATACCAGACCACCTTACTGTCTCCTGAGAAATCTGTATGCCAGACAAGAAGCAACAGTTAGAACTGGACGTGAAACAACGGACTGGTTCCAAATTGGGAAAGGAGTATGGCCAGGCTGTATATTGTCATCCTGCTTATTTAACTTCTATGCAGAGTACATCATGAGAAATGCCGGGCTGTATGACTTACAAGCTGGAATCAAGATTTCCAGGAGAAATATCAACAACCTCAGATATGCAGATGATACCACTCTAATGACAGAAAGTGAAGAGGAACTAAAGAGCCTTTTGATGAGGGTGAAAAAGGAGAGTGAAAAAGCTGGCTTAAAACTCAACATTCAAAAAACTAAGAACATGGCATCCCATCCCATCACTTCATGGCAAATAGATGGGGAAAAAGTGGAAACAGTGACAGATTTTATTTTCCTGGGCTCCAAAATTATTGTGGATGGTGACTGCAGCCATGAAATTAAAAGACACTTCTAAAAAAAAATAAAATAAAATAAAAGACACTTCTACTTGGAAGAAAAGCTATGACAAACCTAGACAGCATATTAAAAGGCAGAGACATCACTTGGCTGAGAAAGTTCCGTATAGTCAAAGGTGTGTTTTTCATACATGAATGTGAGAGTTGGACCATAAAAAAGGCTCTGTACTGAAGATTTGATGTTTTTGAACTGCGGTTTTGCAGAAGAGTTTTGAGAGTCCCTTGGATAGCAAGGAGGTCAAACAGTCACTCCTAAAGGAAATCAATCCTGAATATTCATTGGAAGGACTGATGCTGAAGCCAAAGCTCCAGTACTTTGGCCACCTCATTCGAAGAGTTGACTCATGGGAAAAGATCCTGATTCTGGGAAAGATTGAGGGCAAGAGGAGAAGGAGGAGACAGAGGATGAGATGATTGGATGGCATCACCAACTCAATAGACACGAGCTTGAGCAAACTCAGAGAGAGAGTGAAGGACAGGGAAGCCTGGTGTGCTGCTGTCCATGGGGTCACAAAGATTTGAACCCAAATGGGGACAGTGGTAAAGAACCCACCTGCCAATGCAGGAGACACAAGAGACGTGGGTTCCATCCCTGGGTCAGGAAGATCCCCTTGAGAAGGAAATGGCAACCCATTCCAGTATTCTTGCCTGGAGAACATGACTGAGTGATCGAGCATATTATATACTTGGGAAGGCAGAGCTCACAGGAAATTTCCCCCAAAGAGAAAGCTTTTCAAAGGATGGACGATGGCAACTGTCCCTACACTGCTACCCAAAGCAGCGCACGAGGAATGTGGGAGCAAGGGACACGGCTGGAGCCAGCTCCTAGAGGCGCTCGTTGTCTGTCGGGATAGACAAGCCTCCACATAAATAACTGCAGACAAATGGAGACAGACCATCCACCTATCCGCTGCACATTTATACCTGACTCCGGTCCCTTCGCTGGTGTGAGAGTGAATGTGTGGCCTTCTTTCCATCGGTGGTGCTGAATGGTGCAAAGGGGATGGTCAGCCAACCTGGGGTCAAGTCCCAGGTCAAGTCCCTCCCACTGACCTGGGATTTTGGATTTCTTAATTTCTCTGAGCCTCAGTTTCTTCGTGTGCAAAATGGGCATGGTCCTACCTATGATATAAGGACTAGTGTTCACATTAAAGATACTGTATGTAAACTGCCTGATGTAATAGATGTCCAATAGAAGGTTACATTTATTAGTGTGAACAGGACGAGACAGGGTTCTTTTTGTGGGGTCCTAGTTTCCCAGGTGGTGCTAGTGGTAAAGAACCTGCCTGCCAATGCAGGAGACATAAGAGACATGGGTTTGATCTCTGGGTTGGGAAGATCCCCTGGTAGAGGAAATGGCAACCCACTCCAGTATTCTTGCCTGAAAAATCCATGGACAGAAGAGCCTGGCAGGCTACAGTCCATGGGGTCATAAAGAGTTGGACACGGCTGAAGCGACTTAGTGTGCATGCATGCAAAATGCTTTCAAGAGGTAGCAGAGAGGTTGGGAAAGACAGCAGAGTCCAGGACCTGTCTACCTTGGGAATTCAGGGAAGTGTTAACCTTTGTTAAGTCACCCTTGGTTTAGTCAAGCTTCAGTGTTGATCGTCATTCAATAAAAAATATCAAGACAATCCTATTCCCCCCAACAAGAGAACAACCGCCTGCACTCTTGGGGTGCCCTAGCGTTTTCCCCAGTGTCCCTATTCAAACAGAGAACAGTGAAGGGGAGGACTCTGGATTCTGGGCCACCAGCTGGAAGGTGAGCTCCGTTTGCACCTGGGAGACCCTGCTAGGCTCAGGCTCACAGCTGGGAACAGATCGTGAGGGAGTGACACCCACCTGGGGTGGGCAGCGTCCCCCACCTCAGGGCCAGGGTGTGGGGACAGGCAGGGAGCAGGGTTAGGGCAGCAGAAGCCACACCCGACCCCTCCTCTCTGGTCCCCCTGTGCCCTGTAAGGGACCGGCCTCCAGGCTTGGTGCCCTCTGAGCTTGTCTGATGCTGACAGCTGTCTGGAACACTCCACGGCGGCAGGGCAGGACAACTTGGGCGCATTTTCAGAGGCGTAAACCTGGGGCTTCTAGATCCCACTGCTTGCTTCTCCCTGAGGAA